AGGAATGCAGAATCAGCTCCGAAGTGTGGTTTACCCTCCATAGCCACAGAGCTGGATGGAACTGGAAAGCTGTCCTTGCAATTGCACAACATGGCAAGTTTGTTCCAGACCTGTGAATTGCAAGTCTGAAACAAGCTCCTTTTCTGAGATGCTTTAACCAGGGACCTACATTTCAATTTTGGTTGGACTTATTTCAGGCTGAGTTTCTTTTTCTGTTGTTCTGGCTTTACTTAATCAGGTGTAGAGAATTTCTTTTTCCTAAAATGCTTATCAAGTATTCTTAAAGGTGTCAGTATTCGTATCTGCAAAAATGAAACTTCAGGGTGTTCTACTGTTTCACTTAGTACAGGTGAACTTGCCACTGGTGAGGTCAACAATTTATGCTGTCAAGGCATAGCATGCTTTGATATTTTCAAAGGAAATAAAATGAAACTGAGGTCTTAACTGAAATTTGTCTCAAAGTATCTGTAATATCTATGTAATTCTGTATATTTCACCTGTTCACAGGCTCTAGCAAATGTCACTACAAGTTACAAAAAAAAAATCATCTTCCATTTCTAGTTTCTATAATAAAATGAAGGCGTTGCATTCAGTTGCTTTTGGTGCATCAGTCTTTGATCCATGTTATTGTTTCAGTGACATTTCTATAATGTAATTGGGATCAAATGTATATTTTACTTTTGTACAAAAGTAAAAATGATATTTTTATGACTAAATTCAGCAAACCCTTACATATAACCTGCTAAGATGAAATCTTTTTTTCCTTTCCTTTACATGTAAACGGTTGTTTTTGCAGTATGTTGGTTTGAAATGAATAAATAACAGCTGTCAACAGAACTGTATATGGCCTCTCAGACATACCTCTGATTTTAAAGATCAAATATTACCAATATGAAATATATAAACTGAATAGTCTCCATATGAAAGTGCACCATCAGGGCAACAAACCATTTAAGCTGACACAGCTGTACTTATTTCCACCATTTAAAAATCGCTTACACTTTGGGTCAAGTATGTACTTCATTGTCACATTACAGCTCATTTTTCTTCCAGTAGTGAAATCGTTTGACTTATTATTTTTAGAACATCTAATGTTATGAGTTCTTGAACTATTTGAAATGCATAGCTTTCATCTATGCAATTTTACCTGCTTCTGTACTTGTTCATCTGTTCATACTTGGCATCAATTAAAGATAATTTTTAAGGATCTTACCCAGGATTATTCTGTCTGGTTATTTTCTGGAGTCTGGTTTCTCTGCTGTTACTACTGGCCAGTTCTGTCTGAAATGAATGGTTGGTTCATTGATGGTTTTTGCACTGAATGTTATAAGAAATGGCAATGTAGTGAGTGGGAAATGTGGCTGTGGGCTTTGAGAGGCTTGTTAATGTCAACTCAAGCTTTACAGTACAGTAAATCCAAGGGTTTGGCTTCCATAGGCTTTGGATCTAGCCTTGAGTGAGTAATGTTCTGGAGCCAAACTGCTGCTTTCACCACTGAGACAGCACTCAGTTCCACCAAAAACAGTAGAAATAAGATTAAGCCTACTGATTGTGTTCTCCAAAGGCTTGTGGGTATCTGTTAGCATGTTACGGCTACATTCCTGAACCTGAACCACTGCCTGTAGCATTATCATGTAAGTGCTGACTTGAAATCAGGTTTCTAACAACTATGTGACTGATGATGGTTTTTGGTTTGGGTTGAATGTGTGCAAGTCAAACTGACTTGGTCTTGTTTTCTTTTGAAAATTATTTGTTTTTTCAAGGTGCGTTTCATGTGAACTGGTCTGATACAGTCATGCCTGCCATGCCTCAATATTGTATTCTATATAAAGAGGGCAATGACATAAATGCCAATTATTTTATGCCAAAGGTATTGTGTATTAGAAGTCCATCTATAAAGACTGCCTTTCTGTAGATATGTGCAGTTTGTAACGGTGGGATGCATACATGGTAGAGTGCTGATTACATGTGCTGAAATGAAGTGAAAATACCCTAACCTTATACAAGGAAGAACATTTTGCGTGGCCTGTCCTTTGATTGTATTTACTTATTTGTTTTGCTTTCTTGGTCAAGAAAAGCTTTCATCAAGGAAATCCTCATTCATAATAGCTTCAAGTATATTTAGTGAGTCTTATTGAATCTCACTTATAAATTGACAAAAATTGTTTTGTTGAGCTGACAGTAAAGATTTGCAGATATCAGTCTTAAATGGCTCTAGTCCAAGTCATTTGTGTGTTGGCTGCTCCATAGTGGTGTTCTTAATTCAATGACATATTCATGTCCATGCCTCACTTCAAGAGTGTGGTCATTGTGATTGAGTTTTGATGGCTCTAGGTGTGTTGAAAGTCTCACTGCTTCTTCCTTTTTTCTTTTCTGTGTAAAAAAATTGAAATGCTTGTTTCTCAACTCTATAGTATCAATCTTCTCCCTTTCATCCTTAGCAAAGCTCATGTTGCATTTTTTGGATCAAATTGTAATGTTGCTGCATAACCTGTTTTCCTGAATCTACAATTCACTTGCCGTATTACCCGTTTCTATATCCCTCAATTAGTTTCGTTCCTTCTCGGCCACACTTCATCTTGTGAAATACTGCCCTCAGAGCCTTCACTGCTGAGGTCCTTCGTGGTCTGTCTCATCATACCTGTCATGGATCTAGGTCAAAAAGCTCCTTTCTATTAGGTCTGGGAATGCCAATTCCTGTATCGCAATTACACAGTTTTTTTGAAGAAAGACCTTGCCTGTTTCCATCTGTGCTGCCTCCTCTGTGTGGAAAATGCTCCCACTAGGTTCCTTTGGCCATGATGCTAACAAGACAACATCTCATACTTTATGATTCCTCATCTTTCCCACAGCCTGTGCAGTCACTGTACCCCTTGTTATATCTTGTACTGAGATAGATACTTACTGTGATATGGTCAGTTTTGCTAAGTGGAGGTTTTCAAGCAAAACTACGCACATTCAGGACCAGGTCCTAGGACATCTTTTTTGCCCTCTAAAATGACTCCATAAAAAAATAATCAGCATTGTGTACTGAGTTAGCTGAGCTTCTGAGTTAATTTCTTAGTTAACATCAAAAGAAAATAGATGTATGGTTTTTTTCCCCCCAAAATGAAAATCCTCCTATCTTGTTATTTATGCTTCATCAATTACAAAAATTGTGCATATGGAGTCCTTCCTTTGGTTACACCAAGCAGCCTTCTTGTCTTGTAGGTTTTCTCTGAAGCAACCTACACTGAGGAAAAAAATTGTGGCTCTGCAGATGTAACTGAGACAACAGACATGTTGATGATCCATGGAATAGGCTCCTATCTTCTTCAGATGCACTGACACTAATGTTATGAGGGGAACAAAGACTAATATGATCTTATTTTGTCCTTAATTCAGCAGACTATCAACACAGAGAGGGAGAGAGTCCATTCAGTAACAAGGTGCTCTTTTTATAACATTGATAATTTCAACATGAATTTGATTTACCTAACACTTAATCTTGGAAGTTACTCAGCCTACATGTACTGTTTGATTAATGGATACAAAATAATTGCTTTATGGAAACATATGAATCTCATGTGTGAATATGTACTCCCTTATTTATATTTTAACAAATAAGAATCCTAATACTCCACAGCATAAAATGATTCTTACCTCTGAAAGCAAAAAGAAACCTTTCTCACAGGTGTGCTGTTACCCACTGTTAAAGTTTTATCCTTCCTCTAAAGCATCTGGAGCAGCTGCCTTGAGGGCTAGCAGTCTTAAGTCAGATGGCCTGACTGACAAAGAACATCAGACCATCTGATTCAGTGCTATCCCTGAAAGCGGCTGCTATGTACTGCTGCAGCCAAGCTCTGTAAATATGTAGAAGGAACTGTTTTGCTCTTGAAGTAAACCAGAGCCCACAGAAGTAAATAGGATTGTATCTTTTCACTTCAGAAGACTGTAGAAAGACCATGATTTCATGCTCCCTTTCAGTCTGCTAAGAAAAGAAGATGAGAAACGTTCTGTACTCAAGGCTTCTAAGAGGTACTTTTAGAGTTGCATTATATCCCATGGTTGGTCTTTCTATAAAAATGCTCACTTTATAGTGTTGAGATTAAGCGTTCGAAAATCAAAGAAGCTTTAATTAGCACAACAATACTTCAATCCACTCAGCTTCTCTAACAGCTTCCTAAAATATCTCACATTTTATTCCAATGAGAAGACAATTATGACTCTTGAATAGAAAGCTTTTACAGCTAGAAGATTAAAATGTGATTGTAGCTGGTATATTTGGTGACCTCCTCTCACTAGGTAGGAACACTAGCACATTTGGCTTTTGAGCAGGGGAGCCTGCAGTTGTCACTGAGTGTGATAGAGAGAGCTGCATAAAAAAGGCTGGATGATTCTTAAAGGGAGGACAGGTCTGAGGACAGATGTCTTTCATGGGTCACCATTCCCATCCTACCTGGTTAACAGCAGAGTGTGAGGAATGGGAGGTTCACCTGTATTCAGTTCACATAAGAAGCCTGGTATGTGACACCCAGATGCAATGTAAACTGGGGTTTAGTGTCCCACAATTACCTAGGCTGACACCATTGATACAGCCTACAGTCACTTCAAAAGATTTAAACGTCTTTGATTTGTACAAATGATAAGAGAGTTAATGCCTGAGGCCTTGACAATCCAAATGTACCTGCTATAGTGGGCATATGTGGGGGGTTTCCTTTCAGTCCCTGTAAGAAATACGTCATATTTTTCATCTTGATGCATACAGACAAGTTCACCGGGGAAAGAAGTGGCAAGCCCACAGTGACACTCTCTGGTGCACACATCCACATTCATGGAGTCACATTCTACTTTTACAGTAGCTCAATTACTTTTGGTAGAGTTACTTCTGCTTGACAAGGAATACAGAGGGCCTGAATCAGGCCCATAGCTCAGTACAAGGCTAAACTTTATTAAGAATAATTCAGTGGTGAGCAAGACAGAAAACAGCCATCCAAAAACCTAGCTCTCCAGACACACCATTGAGGGGTTCTCCAGCTATTTTTTCATGAATACTGAGAACACAATATAGACTTGAACTATTCTTTCAGGTTGGAAAAAACTTAGGTTTTTAATTTAATGAATATTTAGCTGATTGCTGCTTGGCCATTCTGAACACAAATCTGCATGTTAAAATTCTACACTAAATTCTGAATGAAGGATCGTCTAGATTCTTATGGCATTTGGTTCCCTAC